GTTTAAAGAGAAGCGGGGATTTTGGTTCTCAGGCGTCATTGGGTAAGTGTTGTGTGTGCTTGCTAATGCACTTGCATGTTTTTGTCTTAGGCTTGCTCTTGCTTTAGCCCTGATATGGTACTGTGTTAGTATTATTTTAGAATACAAATGTGTGGTGTTCAGATGCATTCCAGTGTTTATAGGACAACTATTGATTGTATTCATAAAAGTAGAAGTTAATGTGTTATACACTTTATTGTAGATATAGACATTCATTTATTTATGTTAAGTTTGTTGGTTAGTGACAGCATGATCCTTGAAATTGTAATTCATTGTTTTCTCTGCAGTTTTGTGTAAGCACTACATTGCATGATCATAACACAGATAAGCAAATTATCAAATGTACTAATATAACCATTTTTTTTTTTTTAACATGTGATATTTGGTACAAGTTCATTTTTACACATGAATATTTTACTGTCACAAAACTAAAACAAGTATTCTAATTGTGTATAATGGATCTTTGTTTTGGTCCTTCAGTTATGTGCTGTGTATATTAATTATTTTAGGACCTTAGCATGATTAACTCTTAAGTGAAATTGTATGTCAATTTCTTTAGAATTTCAACTGAAATGTTGTATATTCTGTACACTGATACAAAATATGTACTCATGTCCTTGCATATTATTAATATAAATAAATTATTTAGAAGTGAGTGTATGAGGTGGAAATTATTAAATAACCCTTTAGGATTTAGTGCTTACCTTGGTTATTTTAATATGAGAATGTAGTGGTACCAACATACTTGTATGGGCGTGAAGCATGGGTTGTGAATGTTGCAGCAAGGAGGAGGCTGGAGGCAATAGAGAGGTAGTATTTGAGGGCACTGTGTGGTGTGAATATTATGCAGAAGATTAGTAGGTTGGAAATAACGAGGTGTGGGATGAAGAGGGGTTGTTGAGATAATTTGGATATTTAGAGAGGATACATCTAAATAGGATGACTTGGACAGTGTGTAAATCTAGTGGAGGGAAGGCATGGTAGGGTTCTTCCTAGGAAAGGTTGGAGGGGGGGGGGATACAGGAGGCTATGTATGCAGGGGGGCTTGGATATCTGACAGGCATGTGTGAGCATGTTAGATACAAGTGAGTGAAGGCAATGGTTTTATGACTTGATGTGCTGTTGGAGTGTCAGCTCAGCATGGTAATATTTATGAAGGGATTCAGAGAAGCCAGCTAGCCAGACAGTGCCTGCTTTCTGAAGGAGAGTTGGGGATATTGCAGTTTGGAGGGGCATCTGAAGTGTAGTATCAGTTTGCCTCTGGCAGGATAGTAACTGTCGTATCTGAGTGCCTCTGCAAAGACAGTGATTATGTATGAGTGATGTGGAAATATTGAAATTTTTGTTTTTTTCTTTCTTTTTGGGTCACCTTGCCTCAGTAGGAAACGGTGAAGGTGATAAAAAAAAAATGTATTTGGCAAGTAACATTGTACTGCACCTATGAACATTTTTTTTTTTTTTTTTTTTTTTTTTTGTTGTGTGTGTGTGTGTGTGTGTGTGTACTCGCCTAGTTGTGGTTGCAGGGGTCGATTCATAGCTCTTGTGTGTGTGTGAGAGTGAGTTACCATTCTGTCCTAGGCACATGTCGGTTAGACACTAGGCCTGTTGTATATGCTGTGTGTGTGTGTACTCACCTAGTTGTGGTTGCAGGGGTCGAGTCATAGCTCCTGTGTGTGTGTGTGTGTGTGTGTGTGTGTGTGTGTGTGTGTGTTACCATTCTGTCCTAGGCACATGTCGGTTAGACACTAGGCCTGTTGTATATGCTGTGTGTGTGTGTGTACTCACCTAGTTGTGGTTGCAGGGGTCGAGGCATAGCTCCTGTGAATGTGTGTGTGTGTGTGTGTGTGTACTCACCTAGTTGTACTCACCTAGTTGAGGTTGCGGGGGTCGAGTCCGAGCTCCTGGCCCCGCCTCTTCACTGATCGCTACTAGGTCACTCTCCCTGAGCCGTGAGCTTTATCATACCTCTGCTTAAAGCTATGTATGGATCCTGCCTCCACTACATCGCTTCCCAAACTATTCCACTTACTGACTACTCTGTGGCTGAAGAAATACTTCCTAACATCCCTGTGATTCATCTGTGTCTTCAGCTTCCAACTGTGTCCCCTTGTTACTGTGTCCAATCTCTGGAACATCCTGTCTTTGTCCACCTTGTCAATTCCTCTCAGTATTTTGTATGTCGTTATCATGTCCCCCCTATCTCTCCTGTCCTCCAGTGTCGTCAGGTTGATTTCCCTTAACCTCTCCTCGTAGGACATACCTCTTAGCTCTGGGACTAGTCTTGTTGCAAACCTTTGCACTTTCTCTAGTTTCTTTACGTGCTTGGCTAGGTGTGGGTTCCAAACTGGTGCCGCATACTCCAATATGGGCCTAACGTATACGGTGTACAGGGTCCTGAACGATTCCTTATTAAGATGTCGGAATGCTGTTCTGAGGTTTGCTAGGCGCCCATATGCTGCAGCAGTTATTTGGTTGATGTGCGCTTCAGGAGATGTGCATGGTGTTATACTCACCCCAAGATCTTTTTCCTTGAGTGAGGTTTGTAGTCTCTGACCCCCTAGACTGTACTCCGTCTGCGGCCTTCTTTGCCCTTCCCCAATCTTCATGACTTTGCACTTGGTGGGATTGAACTCCAGGAGCCAATTGCTGGACCAGGTCTGCAGCCTGTCCAGATCCCTTTGTAGTTCTGCCTGGTCTTCGATCGAGTGTATTCTTCTCATCAACTTCACGTCATCTGCAAACAGGGACACCTCAGAGTCTATTCCTTCCGTCATGTCGTTCACAAATACCAGAAACAGCACTGGTCCTAGGACTGACCCCTGCGGGACCCCGCTGGTCACAGGTGCCCACTCTGACACCTCGCCACGTACCATGACTCGCTGCTGTCTTCCTGACAAGTATTCCCTGATCCATTGTAGTGCCTTCCCTGTTATCCCTGCTTGGTCCTCCAGTTTTAGTGTGTGTGTGTGTGTGTGTGTGTGAAAATGAGTTACCATTCTGTCCTAGGCACATGTTGGCTAGACACTTGGCCTGTTGTATATGCGGTGTGTGTGTGTGTGTGTGTGTGTGCACGTGTGCACGCATGTGTGTGCGCATGTGCACGCATGTGTGTGCGTGTGTGTGCACGTACGTGTACTTGCTTGTGTTTACAGGGATTGAGCTCTAGCACTTCGAGGTTCTTCCTCTTTAATCAACCAGTATGGTGCAACCTCAACCACATAAGTTTTGTTGCAGTCCTTTTTGAGATCTAGTACAGTATGAAGTTTACTTTCAATATGTTCTTCCCAGTTGTAGTGCACTTACTTGCTGCCCATTTTCTTAGGCTCCTTTGGGTTCCATTTTCTCTGTTTCTTAGACTCTTGTCAATACCTGTGAATGTTTTAGGTTGTGACTACTTTCTCTTTAATATTTTTTTGTTTTCTCTGTGTCATCTTGATTATTTTACTATACCCAGGTAGCTCGAGTCTCCATAAATTAGCCAGGTGATGGATCTCTGGATATCCCCAAGATTTCTTAAAAGTTTAAGGAAACGTGGTGGCAAGGGGGTATTGCATGCTTCAGTGTTAATCGTGCGTTATGTGGTGTATATTCTAAAGACAGTTTTTTTTTTTAAGATTCCTGAAATATGCTCCAAGGTTTGCTAATGTTACAAATATAGCTGACATTGTCCAGTTTGAGAGTTCATGGCAATAGGCTGTTTTTCAGTTGTATATATTTTAATGAGGTATCACAGACCTTTGACTGGCTTGCTCAATGCATTGACCCCTCCTTCAAATATTGACAATGAGATCATGTTTGGCCCTGTTACTTTTACAGTATCAGGCTCCTTAAAGGGCTTTGTTACATTCTCTGCCTGTGTTCTAATATTCTAAATATTTATTTGTTTGGTACTTTCTCTCATAGGTGTGGCAATTGTACTTTTTAAATAAAAAAAAATGACAAAATATTTTTGTAATGTTCCTTAAATATTTTTTCCTTCTACTTGTGAGGAGTTTTCCCATTCTTTTTAAACCACTTCCATTCACTGCATTTTTCTTGTGTATCTATAGAAAAATTTAAGCTGGGCATTTGCTTTGGCAGCTGTCATTTTCATACACAGCTCTGTTCCAGTGCATTTATCCTTGTATTTATAACTACCTACTTGTAATCTATTTAAGCTTACAGGAGACGATTAAATGGCTCATGGATCAGCCTCTAAACTTTTGATTGATGTGAATTACCAGTAGCTCACTTGTACCTGAGTTTAAACTTGATTATGCATGCATTTATGTATGTGTGCTTGTTTTCAAATGTGGACATAGGCTTATGGTAAAATGTTTGTATATGTACAATTATCCATAAAACATGTAATATGTTTAAGACAAATATTTGACAGTATTATTATATACCCTGCCTCGGTGGGATTCAGCCGGTTTGTTGAAAAAAAAAAATAATTATTTTTGTTTATGGATTTTAAGATCAAGGGGATCGATGCAGTATGTGTATTGGTCAATTTGACGAATAAGGCACTTGTGTAATGTGAGGTAACTTAATTGCCAACCAATGTATTTTCAATCCATAAGAGACATACTGGAGCAGTAGTGGAAGAAGTGGAGAGGTAATTTGAGGTAATCATTTCCTCAGCCTTGACGAAAGGTATATTAAGTTTCCATCTTGCTTCTGCTTTAGAATTATCTAGGCTAAGAAACTGAACACCTCAAATTACCTCTGCACTTCTACTACCATCTCCAATATTTGTTCTCTGTTGTAATGGAAAAAGCCACTGGTTGGCAAAACGTCTTCATGAATAAAGATACCGAAGTGTTACACATATCTTATTTGTCTACTTGTCAGTATAATATACAGTAACAATGTAATGCTACTGCACCAAATCATTTTCAATTGGGTACCTGTACAACCTATTTTTTAAGCCATGTTAAATGAATCTTTAGTAAATGTTGAATCAAGTGAAAGAGCAATTATTTTGAGAGAGATGAGTAATAAAGTGATAGATAATGACTGGTAGGTTCATTATTAAAATCTGGAGTGCCTGGTGTAAATGACAGTGGAGACTTTAGTGTTATGCCTTGGGAGGTATTTTGTAAGGGGTAATGCATGTATCAGATAGAAAAACAAGTATAAAAGTTACAGTGAAGCATGTGGCAAGATGTAATCATTTATCTACTCCGTGTTGTTGTTTTTTATAAAATTAATCAGTAGGGAAAGGAGCAAGTTTCTGTTATGAATTTGGAGAATAAAAAGTAAGTACCATGACTGGAATAAATCAAGTTCCTCTTCTATGTGGGGGTTTTTTGGTGGTGAATTTGGAGTTATTACAGTCATGGCTCCTTCAGGAATGTTCCTTAACCCTTTCAGTGGCCGTCATGTAGAACTACATCATTGAGGACAGGGTTCTCCACATAGTTCTACATCATGAGCTCAGCTCATTCAGATAAGCTGTGAGCAGTAAATTTTGCCATAGATATGAGAGTGGGGGTCTGTGCGGCAAGTGTGCACAGTATAAAAAAATGCTGCCCCTTGCAGTGCACAATGGGAAAAGCAAAAAACTGACCATGTGTTTAATTTAAAATAGTGCCTTTGAGATGTTTTTATTGGCTGTTTCTTGGTATCATTTGATAGAAAATATAATACTGAAATAGATATGATTTTGGTTATTTTCAGAACTGGAATTAACTTGAAATTGAACTCAAAGTAGTGGAAACATTTGATTGCTGATTTTCCTGAGGACAATTAAGGCCCCCCTTCACCCTACAGCCTGTTTTTTTTTTTTTTAATAGATCAGATTCAATTATTGGGATGCTGTAAACCATGACCAGTCTTTCTGGTTATATTTTATTATCCAAGAATTCAAAATGGATGGCAAGTGTAATATAGGAGAGGCCAGAGGATGTGATTGGTGAACAGAGGAAATGTTGATTTATTGCCAGGAATGACTGCATTGCTTATTTTGGACTGTTTTAAATTTTGTGTAAAATTAGCCAAATCATAGACTTCTGTGCATTATGTATGGTAGCTGTAATATTTGCATGGGTGGTTTCTTGTACTCAATCAATAGAACAGAAGTCATACTAGTCAAATAGCTAAGAATTTGGTCAATTGGAGCAATGGAATTAGTTTTACAATAGGACTCAGCGAGCAGAATTGCTGATATGTAAATTGAACCTGGACTAGTAACTTTGGGGCTGCATATTTCTGTAAATTTTCCATTAAATTTCATATTTTGCCATAACCTTCAGAAAAAGGTTCTCTACCATTTCAGAAGAATTTAAACGTGTTAATTTTGGGGGTCTGGACAGTGAAGGAGAGGAGGGATTTTTGATTCAAAAAATTTAACCTGATCTTTCCTCCTTGGATCAACCTTGATTGCCTCCCATTCCCTCTGGCACTCTGACTCCAATGGGTTTATCCTCCAGGATCCTAGTAATAATTACATTTGCCCTATCAGGTGCTACAGGGGTCATACAACACCTGGGGAATGGGAGATAGTTTCAATCTTTGGAAGAAGAGCATAGCTCCAATTCCTTGGATCAAAAACCCTTTATCATTAAGGCACTCTCTTTAAGGATGTGGACTTTAAAGAGATGTGTAGGACAGGGTAATTTGGAGAAGAATGTTTCATATGTATGGATTAAGCTGTACCAGTAAGTGGTTAAAAACTGTGATTTGGATGAGTTAGGAGCTTGAAGATCCAGTAAGGTATGCAAGCATGTTTAATAGTCGTGGGGTTTTAATAGTAGTGGGGTAATGGGTCTGAAATCATCATTTTTGGAATGTGACCTTTCTAATATTTATGAAGAGGAACCTATGATTCCTAGCTAGCCGAACTTCCATAATGAGTTTGAGTTAAGTGCTTATACAGTACTGTAAGTCAGTATTGACCTGTGGTGTTTTCAGCCCTTTGAAAAGCCAATTATTGGTAAGGGGATGGTATATGTTTTTTTTTTTTTCTGAATCTCACTGTCTTGGTGAAAAATGAATGATTTTTAGGATGGAATTAATAAAAAAGTATTACTATAGCAGGTCTTCTTGCCCATGTGAGTGAGGTAAGCCCTGCTAATACCAACCTACATTATGTATCTCTTCATCCTATCTTTAAAACTTGCCAAACTATTTGCTTCAAGGATGCTGCTTGTTGTTCCACTTATTTGCAGCTCTATTGCCAAACAAATGCTTTCCTGTACCATAGAAAATCATTCCTCTGATATTGAGTCACCTTAAGGCAGTGGTGGGGCAGTTTGTGTCCAGGAAAGAAAAGTCCTTTCTTATTTTCTGCGAGGTGTACCACTCTTCCCACTGAGTACTTAGCTGACTACAAACCCAGCATCTTTCTTTTTTTCCTTTTTTTTTTTATGAATGTTAGAGACATTTCCTCTTTAATGAAAATTTACTGTGAATTATGGCATATGACTGAATGAACTATGGCATGCAATTAAAACTTTGAATTGTTTTGATGGCCTTATGGTAATGATTTTTGTAAAATGACAGTAAATTATTTACTGAAACAGCAAGTGATAATGATAGTAACATTTTGATAATGTTGTTGGTAACAGTTTATATTGATGTTGAATAACCAGGTTTAGTGCTTTGTAAATTATAAAAATCAATCACTCTTGGCACTAGTCTTAGAACTCTTAACAATGAAGTCTTTTCTTGCCAGACATTCATTCGTAAGATTAGAATTTGTATTCTTTACAGCTGCAATGTCTCCAACACCACCATCCCAGTTTGCACAACAGGTGAATGCTGGTTATGAAATTCCTGCTCGTCTACGAACCTTGCACAATCTAGTGATCCAGTATGCCTCCCAGGGCAGGTAAGGAATATCTTTTTTTAAATTAACTATTAAATTTTAGAGTGCATTCATAGTAATACTGTGCTCACACTCCAACAGCACGTCAAGTTAAAAAAATCACTTTTCTCCACTCTGCTCACAAGCCTGTTGGATGTTCAAACCCCTAGCACTCAAACTAATATTAATTTCTTCTGCAGTAGTTAATGTTTATATTTATCACACTCATACTGAAGTAATAGAAAATAAAAATATTTGAAAATAAAATTTTCATGCATCAATAATTACAAATAACTGATATGTAGCATACAAATATTTGAATATTAACCCTTTGACTGTCGCAAGCGCAGTTCTGAAACTCTTCCGATGTCAAAAAATATTTAAAAAAAAAATTTTTTTTTTCTTCTTACCAAAATGTTAGGGTTAATTTGCCGAGTGTTTTAAGCCTAAAAATTTTTTTTATTGTGATCAGTACTTACCAAGATACAGAGGTATAAAGTTTGCAGAAAATAAGCTGCGTATGGCAACAGCGGCGAATGCCACTCGCCCAGTAAATTTTTTTTGCTACCATTAGAAGGTTTCTTGTTTTTTCCACTACTTTGGTTTTTCAGGTAACTTATGTGGCCTGTGATACCAAAGTAAGGTGCACTGTACATATATACACTCTTTGTATGCAACACAATAAGCATACAAACATTCTCATCAATATATTGTTTACAACACTTGTTTACACAATACAAAATTTTTTTATTACTATTGTTCTATAATATATATACAAATGTACAGTCACTGGACACTTTCTTAGAACTGCTGCAGCTTGTGGAATTCTTTGAAACATGGGTATATGCACAGTGGTATTTTACACTCCTCACAAATAAAACGAGTGTGTCTGTTTTTGTGGGTGTTTTGTGGTATGTGCACAGACACAGCACCTCTTCTGAGCAGTTTTCTTGAAGGTAGTAGGAGGCAGTTGTATAGGGTAGTGATCACCAGGCCTCAGACGAGAGGGCATGTGTTGATAATTTTGTGGGCGCTGGTCTATTGCAGGTGTTGTTCCTTGGTACTTTAATATTTTTTGTCTGATGACTGACAAACAAAATTCACCATATATAGGTTTGTTGTTGGTCTTCAACTTATAAGCATTCATAATGGAAATATCAAGAAGATGGAAAAAGAGTTTTATGTACCACTTATAACTCTTGTGAATACCATCAGCAAACCCAATCTGCATGTCACATTTGTCCACTAAGTGCATATTGAGGTTGTAGTCCATCACAGGTGCAGGTTTGAGAATGGGTTCATTGGTCTCTCTCTTCTGTCTGCCATTTCACGCTGGTGAACTTTTGTCAACAACGTGACATCATGTTTGTCATGCCACTGAAATGCCATGATGTCATTGGCAGCAAATGCCTGCACCTTACCTCTGTGAGTGCCTGCGTTGAACCTAGGCATTTGCTTATGATTTCCACGCACTGTGCCATAAACGTCTGTCATGTTCACTCGCAAGAAATCACATCACTGTGTAAGGGGCTTGTGTACCATTTTTTTTTTTTTCTCTCTCCTCAACAAACCAGCCGTATCCCACCAAGGCAGGGTGGCCCAAAAAGAAAAACGAAAGTTTCTCTTTTTAAATTTAGTAATTTATACAGGAGAAGGGGTTACTAGGCCAGTTATCAGTATATAATATATGCCCCTTACCAGGATATGGTTCCTACATTGTTCTAACCACATCACCAGAGATACCCAATAACTTCCTGGTATCTCTCAATGTATTACTGCCAGTGTACACAATTATATCCAAAACCAGACCACTTTTGCAATCACACAGTACAAATAACTTTATATCAAAGCATTTCCTCTTGCTTGGTATATACTGCTTGAACGACAGTTTGCCTTTGAACAAAATCAGACTCATCATGAAGAGATAAAAATATATACAGCACTTTTGTTTCAGCTACATAAACACACTCCTGATCTTATATAACATGTCATTTCTGTCAGGCATTGTTTTGACTGAGAAGTGTAGCATATGTAACAGTAGCAGAAATCGATTCACTGTTATAATATCACTAAAACCTGGAGTTGAAATCAGGCGGTCAGTCAACCAGTAGGTGGTGACAGTGTGCTTATACACATGTGGCATAAGCATTATTGTGGCAGAGAACAGGTACATCTCTGCCACAGTTGTGTCCTTTCACTGGTGTAGCCATGACCTTGGTAAAAGGAGTGTGTTTGCCATGGTGTACTCGTAGTATGTGTTACTTTCCCTGACAACAGTTTCTATCAGGGGTTCATCGAAGAATAACTGAAAGCATTCCAGTTCAGTGTCATTGTTCCCAAGTATACGCAATGGCCCAATTCCACTTTGTGTTTCATCAAAGTCATGGGGATTGGGAACAAAATTGGCACCTTCCTGCCAATCCCAGATGCAGTCTGCTGGTGGGTACTGGATATTGACAGGTGGTTGTGGTTGTGCAGGTTGTGGGAGTGTGGGGGTGGTTGTGGCTGTGCAGGTTGTGGGAGTGTGGGGGCGGTTGTGGCTGTGCATTGGGAGTGTGGGCGGTTGTGCTGTGCAGGTTGTGGGAGTGTGGGGGCGGTTGTGGCTGTGCAGGTTGTGGGAGTGTGGGGGCGGTTGTGGCTGTGCAGGTTGTGGGAGTGTGGGGGCGGTTGTGGCTGTGCTGAGTTAGCAGCGTGAGTAGCAGCATGGCCCAGTGCTGGTGCCACATGAGTCGTGCCACTGCCAACACCACCACCACCACCACCACCACCTGCCCCAAGCACATTATGCATCCCCATTGTGACAATATCATCATCTTCACTATCAGTTCGTGGTTTAGGGCCATGGGATGTACTCCGAAATTTACTCCTTTTCCTTGGAATGGCATATGGCACACTACCAGAACACTTGCTGCATCGTACATACTGCCGCTTCACTGGAGAATTTTCCCCCTCACTGTCACAACTCAAACTGCTTTCAATAGCATGGAAATCACTATCACTATCGCTTTCACTGCTCACATCTGAGCCCTGTACACGGGGAAATAGTTTCCTCTTTCGTCCTGGCACAGGTGAACGTGAATGAGATGGCCCAGCATCAGAGGTGGAGGGTTGTGGGTCATCTGGGTTTTCATCACTAATTACGATATCCTGGGCACTGCTTTCAGTCACACCCTTTTGAAAACCGTGGAATTCACTTTCACTGTAACTTCCATCGGTGTTAGAACTGTCACCAGGGAACAGAAGACCTCCAATTCAGCAAGGAGTAAGGTACTTTTTACTGTGAGGCATCATGAACAAGGACTACTAAAATGGCATTTCCACAATGCACCATCGGGTCCCCGATTTTTTTCATACTACACACACCCATCATGCAGACCCATTCTCTAACATGTAGACCTACCAGCTTTCTCCCGCTCAATTTGAAGCCACTAGAATTTACGCATATTAATATGTCAAAAACATTGGCTCGTAAGACATATATACTGTATATATGACCAAAACAGTCAAAGGGTTAAACATCTTAAGAACAAAATTCTGACAGGGATAAAGGTGTCAAATAAATTGATAACAGTATTTAGTAACCTATGTTTCAATATGATTTATGATTAAGTGTTTCTTGAATTTTTAAGATTTTTTTTTTCACTCTTAGGTATGAAGTAGCTGTTCCTCTGTGCAAGCAGGCTCTGGAAGATCTTGAAAAAACATCTGGTCATGATCATCCAGATGTGGCCACCATGCTCAATATTTTGGCTCTTGTTTATAGGTGAGTTGCTTTTGATACAAGACTCATTTTTATGTATACTAAAAGTCCAAAACAGTAACTGTTTTGCATTTTTAGTACAAAAGTGAAAGTTGAGGCACTTTTTTTTTTTTCTTTTAACCTTTTCAGGATAGTTTTTTTTTTAAATCTTATAGGCTAAACAAAAATTTTTTACCATCAATACTTACCGAGATATGGAGGCGTGAAGTTTACAGAAGACGACCGGCATATGTTAACACCGCCGACTGCCAGTCACCCGGTTTTAGTTTTTTTTTTTTTTTTTTTTTTTTTTTTGTATTTTCTATTTTTTTTTTTTTTTTTTTTCAAGTAACTTTTATGGCCTGTGAAACCAATATGAGTACTATTTTGCAAGTTTTTTCTTTATTTACTACACAATAACTGCACAAACACTGTTGTCACTATATTGTTTATAAAAGTTGTTTACACACACAAATGATATAAAATGTTTATTACTATTTTTCTATATTTTATATACACACATACAGTCACAGGGAATGTTTCTAGAAGTTCTGCAGTCTGTGGAAGTCTTTGAAACATGGTGTCATGCACAGTGGTATTTTACACTCCTCACACATAAAACGAGTGTCTGTGTTGTTGTGGGCGTTTTTTTTGTATGTGCACAGATGTAACACCTCTTCTGAGCCTTTTTCTTGAAAGCAGTAGCAGGCAGTTGTATTAGGAAGTGATCACCATGCTTCAGATAAGAAGGTAGTTGTTAATTTAGTGGGCGGTTTTCTATTGCAGGTGTTGCTCCTTGGTACTTGAATACTATTTGTCTGATGACAGACAAACAAAATTCGCCATATGGTGGTTTGTTTCTGGTTCTCATCTTATACATATTATAAGCATTGAGCATGAAAATGTCCAGAAGATGGAAAAAGAGTTTTATGTACCACTTATAACTCCTTCGAACACAATCAGCAGACCCAATCTGCATGTCAGATTTGTCCTCTGAGTGCATATTGAGGGTGTAATCAATCACAGCTGCAAGTTTTAGAATGGGTTCATTGCTGTCTCTGTTGCCTGCCAGTGTTTGTCATTTCGTTAGGGTGAACTGATGACAACAGTGTGACATCTCGTTTGTCATGCCACCGAAATGCCATGATGTCATTGGCAGCAAACGCCTGCACCTCACCTCTACGAGTGCCAGTGTCAAACCTGGGCATATGTTTATGATTTGCATGCACTGTGCCACACGCATCTGTCATGTTCACTTGCAGAAAATCACTGAGTGAAGGGCTTGTGTACCAGTTACCGGTATATAATATATGCCCCTTACCAAGGTATGGTTCTATCATTGTTCTAACCACATCACCAGAGATGCCCAATAACTTCCTGGTATTGTGCAATGTATAACTTCCAGTGTACACAATAATATCTAATACAAGACCACTGTAGCAATCACAAAGCACAAACAACTTTATACCAAAGCGTTTCCTCTTGCTTGGTATGTACTGCTTGAAAGAGTCTTCCTTTGAACAGAATCAAAGACTCATCAATAACAAGCTTCCTGAAGGGATAAAAATACATATTGAATTTCTCTTTCAGATACACAAACACATTCCTAATTTTATATAGCCTGTCGTTTCTGTCAGGCCTGGTTTTGTCTGAGAAGTGAAGCATACGTAATAGTAGCACAAATCGATTCACTCGCATTATATCACTGAAACCTGGGGTTGCAATCAGGCGGTCTGTTGACCAGTATGATTTCACAGTGTGCTTATACACATGTGGCATAAGCATTATTGTGGCAAAGAAAAGATACATCTCGACCACAGTTGTCTCCTGCCACTGGTGTAGACGTGATTTTGGTGAAAGTATTGTGTTTGCCATGGTGTAATCGAAGTATCTGTTGCTTTCCCTGACAAAAATTTCCATCAGGGGTTCGTCAAAGAATAACTCGAAACATTCCAGTTCACCGGCATTGTTCCCCAGTGTACAAGATGGCCGGATTCCACTTTGGCTTTCATCAAACTGGTGGGGATTTGGAACAAAATTGGCAGCTTCCTGCCAATCCCAGGTGCGGGGTCTGCTGGTGGGTACTGGGCATTGACAGGTGGTTGTGGAGGCTGGTGTGGTGGGTGGGTGGGGGATGGTGGCCTTTGTTGTAGATCAGCTGAGGCAGCAGCATGGGTGGCAGCATGGCCCACTGCTGGTGCCTCACGGCTGGCACCACCACTATCACCACCATGCACATTTTCCATCCCAATTGCAACACTATCATTTTCATTTTCACTATCTATTCCTGTTGCACAGCCATGGGATGTACTCCGAGATGTACTCCTTTCCCTTGGAACAGCATATGGCACTACCAGAGCGCATATATCATCGTATATACTGACGCTTCACTGGAGAATATTCCACTTCACTATCGCTACTGGAAGTGTTTTCAAGAGCTTGTAGTTCATATTCACTATCGTCACCAATGCTCACGTCTGAGTCTGGGATATGGGAAAATAGGATTTTCCACGTTGGTTCTGGTACAATTGAACGTGAACAAGATGGCCCAGCAGCAGAGGTGGAAGGCTGAGGGTCGTCTGGGCTTTCCTCACTATTACCGGTATTATGGTCATTAGTTTCGGTCACAACTTCATCAAAACCTTGAAACTCGCCTTCATTGGCACTTCCATCTGTATTAGAACTGTCACTGAGGAACAAAAGTGTCCCAATTCGCCAAGGAGTACGGAGTTTCTTATCGCGAGGCATGGTGAGCAAGGTCTACTAAAATGGCGTTCCTACAATGTGCCACTGGGTCCCAGATTTTTTTTCTACCGCGCACACTGACCCCACACACCCATTCTCTCACATCTAGGCCTACCAGCCTTTTCCCGCGAGATTTGAAGGCACTAGAATTTATGCGTACTAGTACATCAATAACCCTGGCACGTAAGCCGTACTAGTACGTCGGAAACCCTGAAAGGGGTAAGTGAACCTTAGCCCACCTGCTATGCCTCATTTTGTTTGAGAGAGAATTACTGAAGGAAGGTTGCACAGTAAATAGTGAATGCAAATTATATAATGTAGGATAAAAAAAATTCTATAGCTTATATCTATTTTTTTCCTTTAGGGACCAGAACAAGTATAAGGAGGCCGCCAACCTCTTGAATGATGCACTTGCAATTCGAGAGAAGACACTAGGTGAAAATCATCCTGCAGTTGCTGCCACTCTCAATAACCTAGCAGTGAGTTTCTGCATGTGTGTTAATATGAGATTTAAAAAAGCTAAACTACAGATTCTCATAAAAGAATGTTTTTTAGGATGTTACAACTTAGGAATATTTGCTTCAAATATTAAATATTTTAGAAAATTAAATTACTGTATAAATTTATTACTACATTTGTATCTTTTTTTTTCTTTTCTTTTTAGTAGGCTATATGGGAAAAGGGGTTACTAGCCCATTGTTCCCAGCATTTTAGTTGACTTTTACAACACGTATGGCTTATGGAGGAAAGATTCTTATTCCACTTCCCCATGGATATGAAAGGAAAAGCAATAAGAACAAGAAGTATTAAGATAAAATCAGAGAAAACTCAGATGAGTGTGTATACATAAACATGTACATGTATGTGTAGTGTGACCTAAGTGTAAGTAGAAGTAGCAAGATGTACCTAAAATCTTGCATGTTTATGAGACAGAAAAGACACCAGCAATCCTACCATCATGTAAAACAATTACAGGCTTTTGTTTTACATTCACTTGGCAGGATGGTAGTACCTCCTTGGGTGGTTTCTGTCTACCAACCCACTACCTATAAGATAAGAGTAAGGTGATGAAGGTATCAAATGATTTAGATAAAGAAAATTGGATATCACATTGGAGGGAGCGAGTATGGAAGAAATGAATGTTTCAGATACATGTATTTGGGAGTTGACTTGTCAGCGGATGGGTTTATGAAGGATAAAGTTAACCATAGAATTGATGGAGGAAAAAAGGTGAGTGGTGCGTTGAGGTATCTGTGGAAACAAAAAACGTTATCCATGGAAGCAAAGAAGGGAATGTATGAAAGGATAGTGGTACCAACACTCTTAAATGGGTGTGAAGCTTGGGTTGTAAATGCTGTGGCGTGGAGGCGGCAGGAGGCAGTGGAGATGTCATGTCTAAGGGCAGTGTGTGATTTAAATATGCAGAGGATTTGGAGTGTGGAAATTAGGAGGAGGTGGGGGAGTTACTAAAAGTATTAGTCAGAGGGCTGAAGAGGGGTTGTTGAGGTGGTTTGGTCATTTAGAGAGAATGTATCAAGGTAGAATGATTGGAGAACGTATAAATCTGTAGGGAAAGGAAGGCAGGGTAGGGGTTGTCTTGGAAAAGGTTGGAGGGAGGGGGTAAAGGAGGTTTTGGACTTCCAGCAAGCATGTGTGAGTGTGTTAGGAGTGAATGGAGACGAATGGTTTTTGGGACCTGACGAGCTGTTGGAGTGTGAGCAGGGTAGTATTTAGTGAAGGGATTCAGGATGACCGGTTATTTTTATATAGCCGGACTTGAGTACTGGAAATGGGAAGTACAATGCCTGCACTTTAAAGGAGGGGTTTGGAATATTGGCAGTTTGGAGGCATATGTTATATATCTTTATATATGCTTCTAAACTGTTGTATCTGAGTTCCTCTTCAAAGACAGTGATTATTTGTGAGTGAGGTGAAAGTGTTGAATGTTGATGAAAGTCTTTTCTTTTTGGGGATATTCTTTCTTTTTGAGTCACCTTGCCTTGGTGGGAGATGGCTGACTTGTTGAAAACAAAAAAATTGGGTCTTGAGGGATTTTTGATATTGGAGCTTGTATGACCTTTTTTTTTTTTTTTTTTACAAGTCGGCCGTCTCCCACCGAGGCAGGGTGACCCAAAAAGAAAGAAACTCCCCAAAAACAAAAATAATCATCATTCAACACTTTCACCTCACTCACACATAATCACTGTTTTTGCAGAGGTGCTCAGAATACAACGGTTTAGAAGTATATACGTATAAAGAATCACAACATGTCCCTCCAAGCTGCCAATATCCCAAACCCATCCTTTGAAGTGCAGGCATTGTACTTCCCATTTCCAGGACTCAAGTCCGGCTATATAAAATAAGCGGTTTCTCTGAATCCCTTCACTAAATATTACCCTGCTCACACTCTAACAGATCGTCAGGTCCCAAATACCATTTGTCTCCATTCACTCCTATCTAACACGCTCACGCACGCTTCCTGGAAGCCCAAGCCCCTCGCCCACAAAACCTCCTTTACTCCCTCCCTCCAACCTTTTCGAGGGTGACCCCTACCCCGCCTTCCTTCCCCTACAGATTTATACACTTTCCATGTCATTCTACTTTGATCCATTGTCTCCAAATAACCAAACCACCTCAACAACCCCTCTTCAGCCCTCTGACTAATACTTTTATTAACTCCACACCTTCTCCTAATTTCTACACTCCGAATTTTCTGCATAATATTTACACCACACATTGCCCTTAGACATGACATCTCCACTGCCTCTAACAGCCTCCTCACTGCAGCATTTACAACCCAAGTTTCACACCCATATAAGAGTGTTGGTACTACTATACTTTCATACATTCCCTTCTTTGCCTCCACAGATAACATTTTTTTGTCTCCACGTATACCTCAAAGCACCACTCGCCTTTTTTCCTTCATCAATTCTATGATTAACCTCATCCCTCATAAATCCATCCGCTGACACATCAACTCCCAAATACCTGAAAACATTCACTTCTTCCATACTACTCCTCCCCAATTTGATATTTGACAAATATTTGACTTGAGTCCTGGAGATGGGAAGTACAGTGCCTGCACTCTGAAGGAGGGGTGTTAATGTTGCAGTTTAAAAACTGTAGTGTAAAGCACCCTTCTGGCAAGACAGTGATGGAGTGAATGATGGTGAAAGTTTTTCTTTTTCGGGCCACCCTGCCTTGGTGGGAATCGGCCGGTGTGATAATAAAAGAAATAAAAAAAAAAAAAAAAGTTAAATGACTCTTATATAAGGGGATTAACAAATGTGGGTGTGTTAAAACTGCAAAGTAACTCGTAGTTTTAGTGTTGTAGTTAAATGAAGTTTACTATTATTATTGGGCACTGTAGTTTCCAATTTGCCAGTTTTAAGAAAATACATTTTGGATACCCTATTTGGTTTTCTAGAGCACTAATTAAATGACAAAGCGACATCAAACTCTTGACACTTGTTCTCGGATTTCCGTATTATCTCGTTAGTTTTAATAAAAAATAAACAGTGCCAAGTGTTCAAACTGTGACCCACTGAATTTTTTTTTTTTTTTTTTGTCTTACACATTTCATAAATTCTTTGTTAATCATTTATACACTGACAAGTGAACATCTTATGTCAGTATTCTCAAAACCACCAAAAAGAATAAATAAAAACTTCTCCATGGAGAAGTGGAACAGAATTCTTCCTCCGTAAGCCATGCGGGTCATCAGAGGCGACTAAAATGCCGGGAGCAAGGGGCTAGTAACCCCTTCTCCTGTATACATTACTTAAGTTATGAAGAGAAACTTTTTTCTTTTTAAACCATCCTGCCTTAGGATACAGCTGGTTTGTTGAAAGAAATAAAAACTAAAATAGCACTACACAGAAAATCTTTCCAGTAGACATTGGTTATCATACAGTACATATTACCATTAGAATCTGATTCATTGAAACTATTATATGTTAGAGGATCAAATTTTTTCCTCCATAAATAATATACTGTAATGCCCTTAAAATATTTCAGGTCTTGTATGGTAAAAGAGGAAAGTACAAGGAAGCGGAGCCACTGTGTAAACGTGCATTGGAAATACGTGAAAAAGTGTTGGGTCGTGACCATCCTGATGTAGCAAAGCAGCTCAATAACTTGGCCTTGCTCTGTCAGAACCAGGTATATACATATGTATATACACACTTTTTTTTTTTTTTTTTTAACAAGTCGGCCATCTCCCACCGAGGCAGGGTGACCCAAAAAGAAAGAAAGTCCCCAAAAAGAAAATACTTTCATCATTATTCAACACTTTCACTCACTCACACATAATCACTGTTTTTGCAGAGGTGCTCAGACACAACAGTTTAGAAGCATTTACATATAAAGATACACAACATATCCCTCCAAACTGCTAATATCTTGAACCCCTCCTTTAGAGTGCAGGCATTGTACTTCTCATTTCCAGGACTTGAGTCCGGCTATATAAAAATAACCGGTTTCCCTGAGTCCCTTCACTAAATATTACCCTGCTCACACTCCAACAGATCGTCAGGTCCCAAATACCATTCGTCTCCATTAACTCCTATCGAACACGCTCACGCATGCTTGCTGGAAGTCCAAGCCCCTCGCCCACAAAACCTTTACCCCCTCCCTCCACCCTTTTCAAGGACGACCCCTACCCTGCCTTCCTTCCCCTACAGATTTATACGCTTTCCATGTCATTCTACTTATCCATTCTCTCTAAATAACCAAACCACCTCAACAACCCCTCTTCAGCCCTCTGACTAATACTTTTATTAACTCCACACCTCCTAATTTCCACACTCCAAATTCTCTGCATAATATTTACACCACACATTGCCCTTAGACAGGACATCTCCACCGCCTCCTCGCTGTAGCAATTACAACCCATGTAAGTGTTGGTACCACTATACTTTCATACATTCCCTACTTTGCCTCCATAGATAAAGTTTTTTGTCTCCACGTATACCTCAATGCACCACTCGCCTTTTTTTCTTCATCACTTCTATGGTTAACCTCATCCTTCATACAGCCATCCGCCGACACGTCAACTCCCAAGTATCTGAAAACATTCACTTCTTCCATACTTGTCCTCTCCAATTTGATATCCAATTTTTCTTTAAATCATTTGATACCCTCATCACCTTACTCTTTTCTATGTTTACTTTCAAATATCTACCTTTACACACACTCCCAAACTCGTCCACTAACCTTTGCAACTTTGCTTTAGAATCTCCTATAAGCACAGTATCTTCAGCAAAAAGTAACTATGTCAATTCCCATTTTGTATTTGATTCCCCATAATTTAATCCCACCCCTCTCCCCAACACCCTATCATTTACTTCTTTTACAACCCCATCTATAAATATATTAAACAACCATGGTGACATTACACATCCCTGTCTAAGACCCACCTTTACCGGGAAGTAGTCACCCTCTCTTCATCACACCCTAACTTGAGCCTCACTATCCTCATAAAAACTCTTTACAGCATTTAGTAACTTACTACCTATTCCATATACTTGCAACATCTGCCACATTGCTCCCCTATCTACTCTATCATATGCCTTTTCTAAATCCATAAATGCAATGAAAACTTCCCTACCTTTATTTAAATACTGTTCACATATATGCTTCAATGTAAACACTTGATCTACACATCACCTACCAACTCGAAAACCTCCTTGCTCATCCACAATCCTACATTCTGTATGGGAATTAAAAAGGAGTGGTTAGAGATGGAGTGTACACGAGAGAAGTTCGAGTGGTTGGGGTGAGTGGGTTTGGTGTAGGGGTGGGGGACAGACTGAGGTCTGGTGATTGGGGGACTGCTGTTGTGGGAGGTGAACATCGAATGGTGGAGATGTGGGTTGGGGCAGGAGCTGGAGGCTGGTTATGGGAGATGAAGGATGCTGATCAGTGGTTGGGTGTGGGGGTGAAGGCTGGAAGCAACAAGGTGGTGTGATGGTGACTGTGTGAATGGTGGGTGTACCATGAAAGTGTGGGTAAAGTGTGGGGGGAGGTTATGTGAGCTTGAATCTGTTAGGATAGGGGTAGTGTGAGTGAAAGCACTGGTAAGGTGTAGGAGTGTGGGCCATGTGGATGTGAAACTGTAGTGGAGTTGTGCGAGTGAAAGTTGTGATTGTTGGTGGCTCAGTGTGAGTGATTAGATGAGTGACTGGATGGGTGACTGGGTGGGTGATTGGATGATGGGTGGGTGAGTGTGTGTGGTTGGTGGTGAAGGCAGCAATATGGGTGGTGGGTAACTAAGCAATTAGGTATGTGGGTGGCATGTCATGGTGAACAGCCTGGTAAGGTGTGGGCATGTGGCAAGGCAAGGTGTGCTCTAGGCAATGGGGGAAATGGTGTTGGCATAGGCCTGTGCCTTGTGGGAAACTGTATGAGTGCATTTTGTGAAGGTAGGTTGTTGGTTGGAATGGTGTGGGTGGAGGCATGTGGCTGAGGTATGGTACTGGACGAGCATGAATGTAGCCGAGCCTCGCTGCATAGCCTCATTGTCAAACACTCTTAACCTTCACCCACCTTGACCAACGCCAACACCTATTTTTCACACCCCTCTACTCTTACATTTGTTTAGCCCTTGCTCATTTTCACCCATACCCTCACCCACCCTGACTAACCCAATCACCCACATGCTCTCAGTCTGCCTATATGTCAGAAGGCAGGATGGCTATAGATCGATACCTTCACCCATCTTTCACAGTTGCCCTTCGCCCATACTTCCCCTCTGTACTTTCTTGAATCTCCCCTTCTCCCATGCATTCACCCACCACTCTCCTAAACACTCGCCCTCACCTACATAGCCTCGCCCATCTGCCTCTACCGATCCCCACTTATTCAGAACTTTGTCCTCTTGTTATGATCGTGAAAAATTAATTTCATAATTCGGTAGTTACGGACAGTTGGCAATATTGTACACCACCTTCCCCGTCCCTTTCAGTTCACTAATTAGAGGGTTTACTGTATATATATTAATACTTTTTTTAACACAATGGTCATCTTCCACCAAGGCAGGGTGACCCAAAGAAGAAAACTTATTCACCAATATTAACTCAATTGCTGTCTTTCCAGAAGTGTGCTGACATAATCAGGTTAACCTGTGGCTGCAACATCCCCCACCCCTCTTTCAGAATGCAAGTATTGCCCTCCCCACCTGTAGGACTCAAGTCCAACAAACCCATTTTCCTGAATTACTCCATAAACATTACCCTGCTCACAGTCCAACAGCACATCCATTAAAAATCACTCGTCTCCATTCACTACTACCTAACACACTCACACAAGCTTGCTGAATGCTCAAATTCCTAAAACTCGAAGCCTTTTATACTCCCTCCAAACATTCCTGGGATGACCCCTTACCCTTCTACCTTCCATCCCAGATTTATTCATCTTATGTCAACCTATCCCTGTCCATCTTCTCTACATGCCCAAACCATCTCGACAGCCCCTCAACTCTCTGAATTATATATACCCTTGGTCACCCAACATCGCTCTGAAACATGATACCTTTGCTGCTTCTATTCTCCTTTTGGTGTGGCATTGAAAACCCAGGCCTCACTTTTGTGTGTGTTGGGGGAGGGTACCACTATCCTCTGATACATTCCCTTTTTTGCCCCCATAGATGAACTTCTTTCCACAGATACTGTAATAGCACCCACCTTTTTTCTCTCATCTGTACTGTGGTACACCTCATCTTCTCAAGGACCCATCTGCAACATGTCCACTCCTGAATATCTAAATACATCCACTTCCTCCAATGTGATATTTAATCTGTGTCGCTGCCTAGACTTTTCTGTTGCCTCATTACCTTGCTGTTTTCTGTGTTCACTTAATTTCCTTTTCTTTTTTTACATACCCTCCCAGATTTGTCCACTATCCACTGCAGCTTGTTTTCAGAATACCCCAAAAGACTTCATCAGCAAGGAACAACTTTGATAACTCCCACTTTGTATTGGATATGTTGCAGTCTTCCGGTACAAATGATTTAGTTTACTTATGGCAGGACAATGATTGCATGAATGATGAATGTTTTCTTCTTTGGGACACCCTGCCTTAGGGAAAAATGGCTACTGAGGTTAAAAAAAAAATATACATAATGTATACATGTATATAATTAGCACTTCCATAAACCAGCTGACTTGCTTTGGTACTGGAATCCTGCTGGAGTGGCTCGTGTGAATGCAATTTTCATTTAATTTTTCATTTTAGGCTGTTTGCTTGATCTTCAAGATCCATGCATTTTTTTGTTAAATAAATCCTTTGCTTAATTTGTCTTTAATATATACTCCCTTAAGAAGGAAATTATGCATGACATGAACTAAAAAATATGAAGCAGATTTAGTTAACAGAGCATTTCAAAAGGAGCTGGTGATTTTGTTGCATTACAATTTTAAAAAGATGATAAGTTTGTCAGAAATTTTTATATTTGTAGTCAGTAAGTGAATGCCACTTATTTTGGTCTCTTCATATTTGTTTGTATATAAAACTAGTTAGTGTTATCAGTTTCACTGCATGAAGGCTTGCTACATGAATTTTCTTAGATTTTTTAACACAATTGTCTGCTCAAGTGTTGTGTTTTAAAAAATTAAGTGTGGTTTTTCTCATTTGTGATGTCCACGTTCCCTTGCTCACTTTGCATTTATGTACCGTTACTAGTCAGAGTACCCTTTTATTAACCTATTATTGGGGTTTTCCACCCCTTATTCCCCACTTGTAAAATTTGTAGCAAAAAAAAAAAAAAAAAAGTGTTGTAGTAACCTTGGTGTGTAAGGAGTTAGATCTAGTAATAGCTATTTTGATACTATAGTACATTAATAACAGTAATACAGTACATTGTTTTATTAGTGCACTGAACACACAACTTATTATTAATGTATGCATTTTAAGTAGCCTTAGGTGCTAGAAACAAAATGCTAAAATAGATGGGGATAAATGTGAAAACGTATAGGATACGTAAGGGGCTGCTATAACGGGATGCAAGGTTCCATCATAATGGGTGTATCGTAGTAACCCTTCAGCTAGTGTGTGACTGTGTGACTAACCGAGGTTGTGCTGCAGATCTCTCAGGAGGAGCGTAGAGGGGTGCCTAAGGAGGAGCTTCTCGTAAGTTATACAAAGTTACAAATTCTTGTTAAAAT